GGGTCGAGGGCGCCCTTGGATTGCGGTCCGTCGTGGTGTGCGGCATCCTGCGCCCGCCGAGTCCGCGGTGCGACGCGAGAGACGGGCGCGCGTTGCCGTGCAGTCAGCAGCGCCGCCCCACCCAAGCAGGTGGCTTCAGCTTGTTGGGGTTTCGGCACTGCGACGCTGCTTGCGCCTGCCGTGGCGGCGGCAGGAATGGAGCTGACGGCGCCACTGGCGTGGAGTTGGAGAAGCTGCCCTGCGCAGACGCCGAGGCAAACACAGTGGGTTGGGGTCGCAATATTCCGCCCGGACCCCGCGGCGGGATCATTTCGCGACGGCGCATTGGGAAAGGCTTCCGGGTGGCCAGCGCGGGCGGCTGCGCAGCATTGGCCGGGGGGACGCCGCGGCTCGGTGTCCGACACCATTGTCGTGCCACTCCTAATTGGGCGGCAAAGCCCTCGCCAGACAGCGGCCACCACATCATCGCATTTGACGTGTAGATTGTGGGGGCGGTGGCGCGCCCGCTGAGCCACGAATGGTGCTGGTTTTGCGCGCGCCGGGGGGGCGTTTAAAGCACCTCGCGGGGGGGGCTTAAATATGAAATGGGAAACCCCTGTTTTTTTTTTTTTTGGGCGTCCTCGCGCGCGGCTTTGCCCTTGTTTTTTCTTATCTTTGGCGTGGCGCCCCTCCCTCCCGTGGCGTGAGTGGCGGTGGGTTGCCGGCGCCGTGCCGGAACCTCCCTTTAAACGATTGGCCCGGCGGGGCGGCATGACCCTTCTAGCTCAGTCGGTAGAGCGCACGGCTCTTAACCGTGTGGTCGTGGGTTCGACCCCCACGGGGGGTGTTTTTTCTCCATTTTCTTTCGTAATCGTTTACTTGGTTAGTGGCAACAGTCGGCGGTAGGCCGTTCTTCCACACCGCCTCGTCGAACCTGCCGTGTTCCTCTCGGGCGGGGCAAAGCACCACGGGCGCAGGGCTCCGCCAACAGCAGCAGGAGCAGCGCGAGTGGAAAAGACGGGGCGAGGTGGCGTGGCCATCGCACCGCGTGAATAAACTACCCGTGCTGCCTCCATTTGAACATCGGCAGGAGCATTGGCGGCGGTAGCATTGGTATTGGTGGCGCTGGCGTTTCCCGCGGGGAAAAAACAGCAAAAAAAAACCCACAACTAACATGAAACAACAAAACCAATCAAACCCTTCTGGCCCGGTGCGAAAGGCCCAAGGCACTCGCTGGTCCGCTGCCTCGCCTTTGCCAGCCCCTTCATTGGCCGCAACGTGTGCGTAGCACTGCCGCCATGCGTCAAGCACCGCCGGCCACCTCTCCGCCCCCGCCGGGCACCAACTGCAGCCGCCGCTCCGCCCGCTGAGTGTTTTGACTGCACCACCCTCTTGCACCATCGCCTCTGTCACTCTCCGGCAACGCACCACGCCCATTATCACGCGGAAAGACAAAGGAAAACCATGTACACCGCCGAGATGACGCCCCCCCTGCCACACGGAACAGAAAGGCGTTGAGGCGGCGGTACCTCACTGCCCACAGGGCGTCCGCAGTGGGAACGGGGTGCTCATCCTTCGCCACTACGGCTGCTGACGGGCGATCATCACCGCGTGGTGGTGTGTCTTCGCACACCTGCTGTGCGCACGTCTTGCGGGAGACTGTGTCCCCCTTGTCCTGGGCGAAGGTTGTGCGAAGGGACGGCGCCTCCCTCAGGCGCCAAAGAGTCTCGTAGATCAACGCGACCGCTCTCCTCTCGTGGTTGCAAGGCACCCCAACGGCATCACATCTTCTAGTCAATTCCTGCTGCTCCCCCGCCGTGATAACGCACTGGCGCCCATTCTGGGAAATTCGACGGCCCCACGCACCCACACCTCCGGGCCCACTGATTCCGATGCCACCAACCCAAACATGAGGCTCCGCAGACCCTACCGTGGCACAACGTCTCGAAGTCTTCCGCCAACGCCCTTGTGGTAATGTGGAGAACACTCAGACTGCTCATTTGCGGCACATGCACAGGCGCGGCGTGAGAGAGAGGCCCAATTGCAGGCACTGTTCTGCTGTTGGGCCTTGCAGAGGAACGCCATGCATCACGCAAGTGA